TATGCGTTTAATCTTATGTCTGATGAAGAATGCAGTCAACATGTGTCTTTGGTAAAATCAGGTAATATAAGACTGGAGGCACGTTTCAGACAACCCCTTCCAGACCCCATAAATGTGATTGTGTACGCTGGTTTTGACTGTATTATTGAAGCTTTAGTGGATTTCTACTAATGAACGCTTTAGAGCTGACTGCCGTCATGGACAAAGTGGCTGTTAACACACATTTTCTTGGTGTGTTAGCATGTGACCAATTACCAACAAACTGTCCTAAGGAAATGACCAACAATGGTCATTATTAATACACATACATCCAATCTTCCTGGAGAACACTGGCTTGCCACCTGCATAAGTGAAGATCGTGTTGGGTGTTTTTTTTTTGACAGTTTTGGAAATGGACCAGACTATGACATGTTTCCAGAAATGATTAGTGACTTTCTTATAACATCGTGCATAACACAACGGTACTCAACCAGACAAGTACAACATTTTACATCAACCACTTGTGGACAACACTGTGTGTTTTTTTAATGGGTTCAAAATTCTGAAGATGTAATGTCTAAATATAGTTGATTTAATAAAAAATGACAATATGGTTTCAACTTTTGTGAAAAATCTGTATCCGTGTATTTGTAAGATCGGTTGTTTAAATGTGTGCAGCATGTTCAAACAGGACAAATGTTTAATGTATAATTTGTGTCTCTGTGTAATGTATGGTTGATAAATAAAAACAAACAAATGATTTAAACTAAGTCATTTATTTACAAATCTGGAACACCAGTAAACATTAGATGACAGTTTTCAAACAATGTGAAACAAATATTTACATAGTCATGATAAAAAGAACAATATATCTGTATGTACATAAATATATAAATATATAAAACAAAATAAACAAAGCCAACATTAGAAGTCTAACCATTTACTTCTGTCTATAGTGGGTGAGATAAACATGGGGGTTTCAGCACTGCTAGCGGGGGTTTGTGAAATGTCTTTCACAGGAGCAGCATAATCATCAGACTTTTAATGAAAGTGGTATATTTAAAACAGCAAAGGCCTCTAGAAACTCAGCCCACCCCAGAGGTCTACGATCGTCGCTAACCTTGTGCGGTGCTGTGATACTTTTCACCCAGTCCAGAATATGTGACCCGGCGATTGGTTGTCCATTTAAAACAAATTCTCCTGATTCGTTCCAAGAAGACGCGTCTTTTGACTTAGACATTTAATCTGAAACATACTCAACATTCTTCTTGCTTCGAGAGGGTACATTTCTGAGAACAGCACTGATTACATCCTTTCTGTCGACAGTCTGAACATATGTTTCCTTATTATTAACATTGTCTGTCAGAGGTAATGACAGTTTTAAAGTGCTGGTCTCCATATCGCCCTGTTTAGCAATGGTTAAATATCTTTGCAAAACGACGGCGTACAGCTTGGCCTTCTCATGGGCATCAAGATCATTCCTGCTCAAAATATTTCATATAGACACGTCCAGGTCATTTTCTGCAACTTGTCTGATCGACTCCCGCCGATTACCACTCTTTAACTTATCCAACTGGTGTTGTGGTACCAAAACCATTTTTTCAGCATTCTCCATATCTTTCAGTTTATTTGACAGTTATCAAACTTGTTCTGAATGGTAGTACAATGAGTTGAATGCAACACATTTGCTCCACTAGTTAAATGTTCTTTTTCATATCTATATGTCCATCTTTGTTTAGGGATCTGAGGTTCTTTCCTCTACATTATATAATCAAGTGAAATCAAATATTTGAAATGATGTTGCTTGACATGATCAAAGGCATGTGATGGCTGGAAAGCAGCGAGAAGTAACAAACAGTTTTGAAAACAATTCTTTTTCATTTTTGCTGTATTTATATTTGTGTATTTATTACAGTGTAATAAAGTGTTGTACAGTCAAAGCACATTAACTGCCAAAACAAACAGCTTAAAGCAGTTTTCCTAATACATTTGTATTGAGCTGTAGGTGACGGGGAAATGAACCCCTTACTAAGCCAAAGCTTTATTACACACTTGTACAACCCAAGAAAAGCTCCATTAGTGTGCACTGAAGTGTCTAAAGTCACTGAATAATAAGCCTTAGTATGTAATAAGCTTTGAATGTTAAGATGTTGAGAAAAACTCTCTTATAATTTAACACACAAACGCCATTTTTACATTTATTCACATTTATTTAACTGCAGCACCTACAGAGTTGAATGTTCTTTTTATGACATCATAACACTGTGATGTCATAATGTCTATGATGCAGATAAATTCCACACAAACTGCCACTTCAGATCATTCTGTGTTGAGGCGCCAGAGAAGACCAGCAGCACAATGAGCTGCCTCTTGTTCTGGTGTTGCGGAGGCCAACAGTCCGACTCGGACACAGAGAATAAGGCGAATGGAGATGAAGTGAAAAAAGGTGGAGGCAAAATCAAGAAGAAGAAAAAGTGGAGAACAAGAAAAACGAAGGGACAACAGAGAAAGGAAAAGATAAAGGAAGTACAAAGAGCAGAGGAAAGCCAAGCAAGACAACAGCCAGCAGCGGGAGAGGAGGAGAGCCATGCTCCACACGTCCCAGCAGGTCTGGTGTCTCTCAGCTTGGAGACTATTTCCTCTGTGATGATGGAGAAGACGGGAGCTCCTCTACATGAGGACCTTAAAACCAGCGAAGACATTCCTGAATCCAGCAGGGATTTAACGGAATGTTCACTGGATCAGACTGAGGCTGAAGCCGAAGCCGAAGCCATAAAACCATTAATGTCCACTGACCTGGATGAGAAAGACGCAGCTAACATCCAACCTCTGGGTAAGAAATGGACGTTAATATCTGCCAAAATAAAAAACAGAACTAATAACAGGAATAAAAACCACTGATAATAATGCTGAGATGAATTAGTCCAGCTCTGACCACCAAACATCCACATAAACATGCAATTATCAATATCACTAAAGTTTCACAACTACTATCAATATATTTCATAAAACAACCCTTGAAAATGGAAAATCATTAAGTCACTAATAGTCATTAATAACTGATATCATGAAAATGTCAAAGCTGGAGATCTGACAGTATCTATTCCTGTGAAAACAGAGAGTGAGAAGTTGAACATGACGGCTGCTGAAGTCGAGGCCGAGGCCATCCAGGAGCTGATGGACATTCATCTGGATGAGACTGAGGAAATGGTGGAGAAACATCTGGGTAATTTCAGGAACTGAGCTGATGGTGTGATGATAAAACAGCAGAAGAACTGCTGATATTCAATTAATATAAAAGCAGGACTTAATAAGAAAACTAATAAGCAGAGGTCATTAAAGACCGAATGGACACTGACCTTCAGGACACAGAGACCAAAAATCTGGGTTAGAAATGACCATAACAAGCTACCAATCACAGAGATCTCACTGTAAAAATATTAATTCATAAAGATATACTGCAATATATTTGTTCATACTTCTAAAATAAAGCTGTTCACATGGTTATTGATCTCGATTGTTGTGATATTCATTAATTTTAAAGCAGGAGACGAGATGTTTGAGGCGACCCTCACTGACGCTGAGGTTGAAGCCGTTAAACAGCTGATGCTCCTCTTCGTCGACAGGATCGAAGCGGAATCGATGGGTAAGAAATAAAAATTAATAACACATAATAAAAACAAAATGATATACTGAATAATAAATGCTTAATAAAACTATTAACATGAAGTTCAAGACACGTCTATTATAGAAAGGCATTCACAGATTCCTTCACTTTAGCTTCACTACTGAGAAGTAATACTAACTGTTGGTGACGTTTCATCAAGAATTCAGAGAAAACTGTCTCACTTTTTCTTTGAATTAGGATGTGAAGTGATGGATGTTACAGACACTGAGCCTGAAGCCCCGACGCTCACCATGCAGGCTTATTTGGATGAAGTGGACACACCTGATGACCGTCCTCTGGGTGAGTAGTGCAGATTAACACTAGATATCATGAAGAAAATCACAGCTGAACTCTTAAAATGTGAAAATGACATTTTTCTCTTTTTTGTAAGAGCAAAAGCTGAAAATATTTCATGATAAAACAAGAAAACATGACATGAAGGTGGATGTTGAACTCTGACTGAAGGTACTAAACATCCAACACACGTAACAAACTTTAGAGTCCTGAGTGCTGAACCACTGAGAGAGTCAGATCAAAGACATACAGATCAGCGACTGAGGACCAGCACTACAGCAGAAACACTGAACTCTCTGAATCTGTAAACTCTGAGCTCCAGGTGAGATTATACTGGGGAAATGCTCGGCTCTTCATTTCTGTAATTGTGGATATTTAATTCATGTTACAGTAGAAGAGGAGATCCTTGAGGTGACGGACACAGACGGTGAAGCTGAGGGGATAAAAGAACAAATGGACACTGACCTTCAGGACACAGAGACCGACAATCTGGGTAAGAAACGAAAACCATAACAAGATAAAAATCACAGAGATCTCACTTTAAAAATATTAATTCATAAAGATATACTGCAATATATTTGTTCATATTTCTAAAGATATTCATATTTCTAAAATAAAGTTGTTTACATGGTTGTTTATTTATTTCTGTTAAAGCAGGAGACGAGATGTTTGAGGCGACCCTCACTGACGCTGAGGTTGAAGCCGTTAAACAGCTGATGCTCCTTTTCGTCGACAGGATCGAGGCAGAATCGCTGGGTAAGAAATACAAATTAATAATACATAATAAACACAAAATTACACTGATTTAAAAAAAATATATATATTGATTTATAAAAGTATACTGAATAATAAATGCTTAATAAAACTATTCACATGACATTCAAGACACTTGTAGTATTACAGTCCTCCAGCGCTAAAGAAAGGCATCAGCTCATTCACTGATTCCTTCACTTTACCATCACTATTATATTATAGAGCAGTAATATTAGCTTTTGGGGATGTTTAATCAAGAATTTATAGAAAATTCTGTTCCTGTTTCTTTGAATCAGGATTTGAAGTGATGAGCTCTGCAGATGCTGAGGCTGAAGCTTCTGGACTCAACATGCAGACTCACCTGGGTGAAACTGACCCATCTAATGACCATCGTCTGGGTGAGTAGAGCACTAGATATGATGAAGAAAATCACAGTTAAACTGTTAAAAAGGTAAAACAGGATTTAATATAACAATATCAGCTCCTCCTCCTCCAACCACCATCTTCAGCTTTCACCAACTAATAATACATAATATTGCATACATAATACCAAATATCTGACTTACATCAGGATTTAATGAGTGATTCTGTCTCCTGCATGAAAAGATGTGGAAAAGACATCTGATGAAGAAGCAGATTGGAAGACCATTGAAAGTCTGATGGCAGATCTGCTGAACGATGTCCAGAGATCAGTTGACCACAGTCTTGGTGAGTAAAATAAAAGCATATATTGAGGACATAAGAAGCTGTACAGCTGCTAATTCTTTCAACATCTGAAGCAGGAAATGAGATTCACAAGGAGGCTGATGAAGAAGTCAAGGCTGATGACCTTAAACTGATGGACGTTCAGCTGGATGAGACAGAGACTACTGTCCACCAAGCTCTTGGTGAGTAATAGAAACCATAATTTATTAAGAATGGAGCAGTTAAACTCTGGCTAAGAAACCAAAAGACCATCTTCAAATGTCACAAGAACCTTCAAAAACTGAAATAATCAAATCTCTTTTTTACTGGAAAATCCGTTTTATTGCAGGAAAAGATGTGGAAATGACGGCTGATCCCGAACCCATTAAAAGCTGGGCTGATATCGTGGATGAGACTGAAAGAAACATCAACCAGTCTGGTGAGTAAAATGTCCAGATGGCACTGATCTGATCCGGGTGTCTGTGTTTGTAATTAAACAAACATGTTAACGACTTTCATTGTTTAAATATTAGTCAGAAAGTCTTTGTTCCAGGTTAGATTATTGGAGATGAGCTTTGTTGCTGATGTCTCTGATTTTTTTCTACCAGCTGAAATAGAAGACCTGAAGAAAGACGCTCCTGTGAATGAGACCAAAACAGACCAACATCAGAAGAACACCAGGAGAGGAACACGCGGCAAGGGTCGAACAATAAACTATATAAAGGACAAAGAAGAGAGACAAAATGAAGGACATGAAGAGGAGAACAGCAGAAGAACATCAGACAGAGGCATCCGAGTGGGAGCTGCAGGCCAGAGACATCAACCAGGATATGGAAAGACTAGAACACAGTCTGAGAATGTAGGAACCTGTGGAAGAGCACCGGAAACTGTTCCTCATCAGCAGAGGAGGGGACAGAGAAATCATTGGACACGAGAACATCTGCAGAAGAGTCTGCAAGCCCCTCCTGAGGAGAAGAGTGCTCCACAGATAGACATCAGAAAGAAGGGAGAACATCTGAGAACATCTAGACCAGCAGACAACCAGAGAGACAGAGGAGCCCATTCAGTCAGACAGAGAATGGATGAGTCTCGCTGGAGAGGAGCTGCCCAGTGCTGGCAGAGAGAGCACAGAGTCCAGAGGAGTGACGCTCCACAACCTCCTTCACGCAACGGAGGACGTGTGAGCGAAAGAGGAAGGAGAGGACATCCCGCTCAGCCTGCACCTTCACGCACTGACAGAAATGACCGGACCGTGAGAAAACCGCACTGGTGGCAGCACGATGACCGCTCTGTAGAGCCTGATGACGGACAGACTGGAGAGAGACACCACCATAAGAAATACAGGAATGAGAACAGGCAGTGGAAGAGTGGAAGAAGAACCAACACTTCATACTGACCACTGAAAAAAACCTTTAGAGCAGCCTGAGAAGCAAGTCAGTGGAGACATCAACAAGAATTTGGAAAAAGGAGAACACAGTCAGAGAACGCAGGAACCTGTGAAAGAGCACCTGAATCTGATCCTCATCAGTAGAGGAGGGCACAGAGAAAGGAGGAGAGGAGAGAAATATGTTATCTGAAAGCAGGACATCTGCAGAAGCATCACCAAAGCCCTCCTGAGGAAAAGAGTGCTCCACAGAAAGACTGCAGAAAGATCAGAGAACAAGCAGATGGAAAGAGAAGAACTCGGCTAGAGAACTCCCGAACCTGTGAAAGAGCACCTGGTCCTCATCAGCAGAGAAGGGCTCAGAGAAAAGAGGAGAGGAGAGAGTTGCTCCACTGGAAAGAAGATCATCAACAGAAGACTCTGCAAACCCCTCCTGAGGAAAAGAGTGCTCCACAGAAGAATACAGACTATTAACTCCACTTCTATGCTACAGCCAATCAAATCCATCTCTTAAACAGCGATCCCACCAGAGAGAAACCAGCAGAACAACACCTTTAAACCTCTAACACCAATAAAAGACTTGCCGCTCTCCCTGTTGGAGCCTCTTTTATTCACTCTGGGATCCTCTACACTCCTGTGTGGGCAATATGACAATTTTCAGCATTATCGTGAAAAAATTATGTCACATTATGTCACAAAATGTTCTTCTAAGTTGTGTTGGGAGCTGTTTTTATTTTCTAGTTTTCTGTTTTACTTTATTATTGTTTATTGTTTTGAGAAGTCAACTGTGTTCCATCCAAATGGCCTTAACAACAACACCTAAGGATGATTTGGCCTTCTGGGACAGAACACTCAGTTCACGACACTGAGGCATTTACAGTAGTATCTGAGTCCCTGAGAAAGCCGACTCCAACAGGATCTAAGGCTCTGAGAACACTGACTTCTGCTTATGATATTACCCAGGGTCCTCGGGGGGAGTGGTTGGTGGGGAGTCAATGGGAAAGTATAAAAGCTGTGTCTGAGCTTCTGTTCAGACTGGGTGAAGATGGGCAGAGATGGCAGAGAACATAACACTCTTTTCTGTAAACGCTGGTCTCCTGAATATCTTCCATAGCAAGATCAAAGATTTCCATCAATGGCGACGAGGATGGGGTCAGGTCCATCTCCTTTTTTGACTGCAGCAAGAGCTTTAATGCCAAACAGAAGAGGTGCAGTTTATGTTTTGTCTTGTGTTTTGTGTTTTGGTCAGTGACTGTAAGTAAGACATAGAGGTCCTATCGACTTTGGGTTCTGTAATAGTTGGTTTTGAGGAGTCAGCACGACAGCATTTGTTGTTCTGTCATTATGGGGGTAGTTCATGGGTTATTTCTGTGGGACTAGGCTCCCGAGTTAAAAGTGCAGGGGTTTTTCCTGTTTACCCAAATGTGTGGGGGTTTCCCAGTCTAAGATTACATTTACAGTTGAATCTCAGCCTTTCATGTACGCTGATAAAGATGCATTTGAGGACTTATTACAGATGTTGGATAAAGTGTGTTCAAAGAAAAAGGAGAAATTGTGTAAGAAGTATGGGCTTCCAGCAGAACCAGGATGGAGTCAGGAACAATGTTTCATGGTTCTGAGCAACTGTGTAAAGAAAAGGGACCTTGAGGGGTGTGTTCCCGTCTTTAGACAGTGGCATGGCGTTCTAAGAACAGAGCACCAACAGCACACAGAACAAGCTCAACACTCTATCAGGGTCCTGCAAAGGTTGAATCACTTGAAAAACAGAAAGATGCATTGCTGATCCAGGTTAAGTCAAAGAAATGAAAGTGAACCCCTCCCATGTGGAGGAGCATCTCCTTCTAGGGGCAGTGAAGACAGTTCTGATCAAGCTGGTCTTCATCTGTTATAGAAACAGCTACAGGAGTTGCTGAAGGAGAAAAGTCAAAGACAGATGGAGAAGAGTTCAGTCAGTATTCTCAGAGCACGGCTGAAACAGTTTTACTGAATGAGGGCTTCTGTGCATCTACTGAGGACGTGATGAGCAGTTAAGGTGTTGCTCCAATAGCTGAGACTTCACAAACTGGGGTCGCCCAGCTGCTCAGCACTGCTGTGTTAAAGAATGTGTCCCATGGAACAGGGAGTCAGCAAAGCCAGGGAACACATGAGAATGCATGACACTACTGTGGTAAAATGAGTCCTTGCACATGCAGAAAGAAGTTTTAGGCAATGAGTAAAGTGAGTTTAGGGAGTCCAGCTCCATGGGTGGGTCTGTCATCCCCAAGGTGGCAGGTAAGCTGTTAAAGCTAATCCAACGCAACTCAACTTTCTGCTCCTCCCACAGAGGAGGAACAATTAAACTGACCATAGCTTCTGTGGGAGCATCTTTATAGCCAATTACACACGATCAGGACAGTAGATGGTGGGTAAAAACTACTGTGATTTATATTAAACCAGCTATTCAGTAATTTTATCCATGGTTAAAAGTGTAGCTGTTTAAGGCTGCTGTACTGGGTTCTGTGTAACCTAGAGGAGCCTTAAATAGTTTTCAGGTTTTATGGCTGCAGGACCATGGTCATGCTATTAGTTCAGCTCATGTAGGTGTAATTACTGCCAGGGAAGTGGCGGTTGGCTTTGCCCTCACAGTTTCTAAAAGTTTTATAATTTGACTTGAAAAAAGAGTTTGAATCCTCATCATTACTGATGGCAGTAATGTCTGATTCTCAAGATGGGGCCGTTCAATAATGCCAGGTAGTTAAATGTTATAAATTGGTGAAGTCAATCAGCTGTTTCATGGCCAGAGACCTATTACTTCACTTTCAGCTCAGCAAAACAGAGGAAATTAGTTGACAGTTAGCATTATACCACCTCAGAATCTAAGCGTGCCCAGAACAGTCACCCTACTGAGTCTGAGAAGTCCAGCCTGGTCCCGGAAAACCTCGGAACTGCCTCCGCAGTGCTGCCACATGACCTACTGCTCCACTCATTCCACCCAGCACCTGGGAAGTGGGAAACCCTCTTCCTCCAAACATCTGCCTACCCCTCTGCTGTGGTGAAGCTGCTTCGTTTGATGTGGATCAGACCCACGGCACTTGAGTGTGTCCAGATCCACCCAAGCTCTGGGTTCAGTACCATCCGGAATGCAGCAGTTTCGCTTTCATACACTCAGGTTTTGGCACTGTTTGTTTTAATAGGTTTAAACCCCTTTTATAGATATACATACATATCACTGCTGTCAGAACAAAACCTTGTATCTCCATTTTTGTCGTTTTTGAGTTTTTGTCATGATTTGAAAATGCCTGTTGTCCTATATATTGTGTGTAAATTTCATTATGAATGGACCAAAGAAATGGCCTAAAATTACTTAATGTCTGGTTCCATTGACTTGCATTGAAAGTAGAGTATGTTTTTTCCTTCTCCTGTAAAGTTCTCATATTGGAGATATGAGGTTTTGTTCCGAAAGCAGCAATACATACACATATGTCTATACATACGTTAGCTCACTTTAGGCTTCCCTTACCTTTATGCATGAAGATTACCGAGTTGCCCCTCCCCAAAGGAAGCCTTAGTGTTTAATACCATTCCAGTGGTTGATTACATTATTATATGTTTCCTCTTCAATCAGTCATACCATTGAAAGTAATGTGAATCTTGTATGATATTTAACCCAATAATTTGCCTTTTAATTGAAGCATCCTTCATGTGAGTGTGTTTCCTATCTTCCTGTGGTCTGTATGGGATTGATGACTTGGGTTACCCTAGACCAGGAGTGCCAATACTTTTGTGGCTTAAGATCTACTTTTTCCAAAGGACAGGTCATCATGATGTACTTAAAAAAATAGAAAAGAAAAAAGATTGGCCTCATCCTTTTTTAAAAGCTTTGACAAGTTTTTAATGCATTTCAGTGGCCTTTATTGATATTCAGCATTACAGGGCAAACGACTGAAAAATCCAGTTTCTCCTTGATGCCCCCAGCCAGCACATCGACGTATTAAATTCCATCACCAGCACATTTGATTTGGTTTGATTAACCAAACGAGGTACTGTGTGATAACTACAATTACTACTGGACAGAGGTTTGGAAATAGCTAAACAATCATACGGAAGTATCTAAAATCACTACCTGCCCCTCTGGAACCTTGACTTAAGTGTTATGCTGTTCCTCATGGAAAAAAAACAAAACATGGAGATCCATAGAATGCGTACCCTGCTTTTTCTTTGCTAGTTCAGGTATATATTTTTCGCTTTCCCTGCCAAATTTAGCATTTTTGACACTTGGAAAAGGTTGAATTAGACTTCACATCCGGTAAACTTAAGCATAATTAAGAATGCAGAGTTTCCCATGTGTAAATAGACTTCATCAGCTTTTCAAGCGTGATTTAGTATTGGGAAAAGTGGTGTTTTCCAGTGTCTGATGCTACTAGAAAGCACAATCTTAATACTCCTGGTCGCCAATCACAATCACAACACATGGCCCACCTATTTACGTATATTTGTGCAGAGCTTCTCATCCTTTTAGTTTTACATCAAAAATAAAATACACAGCACTGAGAATAAACAAATCTAAACAAAACACAGAATGTTTGGGGGATAATTGTTGGCAGCTCTGGTGCTGTGTGAACTGCAGCACTTACATTTGTCTGTTTTTTAGCATTCAGATTGCTAACAATAAAGTCATAAGTGTGCCTTATTTACATTGTTGGTCAGTTATGATTTTAAACAGCTAAATATGTAAATGGACACATTAGGAAAGCAACATTATATTGATCATACTCCTGAATGAGACGTACAGTAGCACAAGGCCTCCAGAAGAAGGCAGCGCACTCAAAGCAAACCCCTCTGAACTCCACAGTGGCAGTGCTGAGTTTCTGATCTAATAATGATTCAACTTGCCAGCTAATTGTGGAGCCTTTCAGCAGGTGAGCCACACATAAGCACATGAGAGTCTTGCATCAGATACTGTGAGGCAGAGCAGAATAACTTCATGATAGTCACTAAACTTTTCCACAAAGTAACACAGCACACTGCAGTTA